ACACTGCTGTGTTGTTATGTTGCCACGAACCACTACATGATTCAGTGTAATTGGTGTCAGCATAGTAGAGTGCCTTTGATGAACATTGTTCACAAAGTTACGGTCATAGTTTTGGTGAAAATTTCTTCAGTCATTCTACATCCAGGTCCTAAATTACTGCTGAGTGCACAGTGGCGAACAGTGAGAGAATGGTGCCCAGTTGCCCCACTTTGCCTAGTTTGCAAGGCGAGTGTATTAACCATTAGCCAGCATTATAGATTGACCCTTATTAGGGAGTAGCCTAAGACCCCTTTACCCTGCAGCGTCCTCACCAACAAAGCAACTTTTCTACAGGCTAGGCTCATTAAAGCGGCGGCCGTCCCCCAAGACTCATTCATCAAATTTAACGTATTGTGTATTAAAGTAGGTCAGTTCTCATTTATATATTAACATTATTATTCATTAAAATTCTGTGCACAGGCGTAGGTTAGGCTACGTTTTTATAGTTTCTGTTGGCGATTAATTATCAATAGAAGTAATTATCAATAAAAGTAATTGATTACATTACACCAAGAACAAAACCAGGACGGAATGAACTACATGGGTACGTAACTGATGACAACTCCATATATAAGAGTAGGTATAAGAGAAGGAAGACGGTTTGAAATCATTGTAACAGGCAAACGTCGACTGAGAGACGCGGCCCAGGAGCTGAAACTCAGATATGCACTCACGTATCGGTGAGTACAAGAGGCGCCGTCTTACAGAGGCACCGTCTTACAGAGGCATATGTTCATATAAACAAGCACACACTGGAAGTGTGCGGTGGTGCTGAATAATAACACACTCCCTTCCCTCCTTGTCGCTTGTCCTTGACTGGTGCACGTGTGTCTGTGGGGGGGGGGGGGGGGGGCTCTGTACGTGCCGGGGAAGGTGCTCTGGAACCTCGCCCCCTTCCTCCCCTTTGTGGCTCTGGTGTGCGTATGCAGTGGGGGGAAGCTGTGGTTCTCGCCCCCGTACCCCTCCTCTTGTCACCGTGGGGCAGGTCTGCTGCTGTCACCGTGGAGCAGGTCTGCAGTTGTCACCGTGGGGCAGGTCTGCAGTTGTCACCGTGGCGCAGGTCTGCAGTTGTCACCGTGGCGCAGGTCTGCAGTTGTCACCGTGGCGCAGGTCTGCAGTTGTCACCGTGGAGCAGGTCTGCAGTTGTCACCGTGGCGCAGGTCTGCAGTTGTCACCGTGGCGCAGGTCTGCAGTTGTCACCGTGGCGCAGGTCTGCAGTTGTCACCGTGGCGCAGGTCTGCAGTTGTCACCGTGGCGCAGGTCTGCTGCTGTCACCGTGGCGCAGGTCTGCAGTTGTCACCGTGGGGCAGGTCTGCAGTTGTCACCGTGGGGCAGGTCTGCAGTTGTCACCGTGGGGCAGGTCTGCAGTTGTCACCGTGGCGCAGGTCTGCAGTTGTCACCGTGGCGCAGGTCTGCTGCTGTCACCGTGGAGCAGGTCTGCAGTTGTCACCGTGGCGCAGGTCTGCTGCTGTCACCGTGGAGCAGGTCTGCAGTTGTCACCGTGGGGCAGGTCTGCAGTTGTCACCGTGGCGCAGGTCTGCTGCTGTCACCGTGGCGCAGGTCTGCAGTTGTCACCGTGGCGCAGGTCTGCTGCTGTCACCGTGGCGCAGGTCTGCAGTTGTCACCGTGGCGCAGGTCTGCAGTTGTCACCGTGGCGCAGGTCTGCAGTTGTCACCGTGGCGCAGGTCTGCAGTTGTCACCGTGGCGCAGGTCTGCAGTTGTCACCGTGGCGCAGGTCTGCAGTTGTTACCGTGGGGCAGGTCTGCAGTTGTCACCGTGGCGCAGGTCTGCAGTTGTCACCGTGGCGCAGGTCTGCAGTTGTCACCGTGGGGCAGGTCTGCAGTTGTCACCGTGGGGCAGGTCTGCAGTTGTCACCGTGGGGCAGGTCTGCAGTTGTCACCGTGGGGCAGATCTGCAGTTATCACCGTGGCGCAGGTCTGCAGTTGTCACCGTGGCGCAGGTCTGCAGTTGTCACCGTGCCGCAGGTCTGCAGTTGTCACCGTGGGGCAGATCTGCAGTTATCACCGTGGCGCAGGTCTGCAGTTGTCACCGTGGCGCAGGTCTGCAGTTGTCACCGTGGCGCAGGTCTGCAGTTGTCACCGTGGAGCAGGTCTGCAGTTGTCACCGTGGGGCAGATCTGCAGTTATCACCGTGGCGCAGGTCTGCAGTTGTCACCGTGCCGCAGGTCTGCAGTTGTCACCGTGCCGCAGGTCTGCAGTTATCACCGTGGCGCAGGTCTGCAGTTATCACCGTGGCGCAGGTCTGCAGTTGTCACCGTGGCGCAGGTCTGCAGTTGTCACCGTGGAGCAGGTCTGCAGTTGTCACCGTGGGGCAGGTCTGCAGTTGTCACCGTGGCGCAGTGTTGTCAGGGCGTGGTTGTACGGGTGACGTCTGGCCATCCATGATGGCTTCACGTGTGGATAAGGGGAGGGGTGTGGAAGGGGGAGAGTGGGGCGGGAAGGGAAAGGGGTGCGGGAGAAGGAGAGGGGGTGGGGAGGTGGGGATGAACATAGAGGACTAGAGAGAGGAGGGCCGGAGAGGGAAGGGCCGGAGAGAGGAAGGCCGGAGAGAGGAAGGCCGGAGAGAGGAAGGCCGGAGAGGGAAGGGCCGGAGAGAGGTATTAGGCTGAATACAAAGAGCATCAGGCGGAGTAAGCCAGACTCCTCCAGTTGTCTCACCATATACGCCGGTGTAACTTGTTCCCTGTTTACTCAACGCGCTCACTCTCTCCCAACCCATGTATAAATATTTATCTTCACCTAAGACTTTTTAAAACGCAGTTCGTGTGTATATATATATATACATATATATATATATATATATATATATATATATATATATATATATATATATATATATATATATATATATGGGCGTAAATAGTCTCGATTATCCAATACTTTGGATATTCTGGTGGTCATGTGATCAGGGTACTGGTCTTGTCAGTGATTTCATTGCTCCTGGCAGTTTAAGGTTCGAACCTTTCATGGTGAGGAGTCTTTCGGATATATTTTTGTATATATTAGTCCTAGTTTTTCCTAGGACTTGATGATATATATGTGTGCCCATTATACACCTCAGAGTGTTGTCGTGTGTACGTGGGTCTGGGGACTTCCTAACACCTTTTAGGCAATCGTTGGTTAATTGAGTGGTTATTGTACTGAGTTGTCACGAGGTTTGATTCCCTGGCGGCCCAGTTCTAACTTTCTTTAGATAACCTGTAAACTAGATGCTTAGATGGGCCACCGGGATGTGAGAGCGCACGTCTTCAGTGATAAGAGTAGTGAGCAAGTGTAACGGGCTGAATGGGTAGGCAGCTGAGTCAAACTCCATTCATAGCTTCAAAAGTAGATATGATAAAAACGAAGAGAGTCTGAAACCATTGATATAGACGGCAGGTGATTGGAAGACAAAGCCCAGGAGCTAAAACTCGCACTGTAAAAACCGTACAGGTGAAAATGACGCAGCGGCGTCAGCGTCTAGTGTTTACGGATAACAAATGTTTCACATGGGTGCGTCCTCTTGTCCTCGCCTGGGGAGCCTTGGGATGAACCTTGGGAACCCTTCTACCAAGCTTGGTGCTCGCCTGGGGAGCCTTGGGATGAACCTTGGGAACCCTTCTACCAAGCTTGGTGCTCGCCTGGGGAGCCTTGGGATGAACCTTGGGAACCCTTCTACCAAGCTTGGTGCTCGCCTGGGGAGTCTTGGGATGAACCTTGGGAACCCTTCTACCAAGCTTGGTGGCTCACCTGGGGAGCCTTGGGATGAACCTTGGGAACCCTTCTACCAAGCTTGGTGCTCGCCTGGGGAGCCTTGGGATGAACCTTGGGAACCCTTCTACCAAGCTTGGTGGCTCACCTGGGGAGCCTTGGGATGAACCTTGGGAACCCTTCTACCAAGCTTGGTGCTCGCCTGGGGAGTCTTTAATTCAGATTTAGAAGAATTAAGAAATGCCAGAGACATGAAAGCTGCAGTATTAAAAGCTATGGCAACTTTTGTAATAATGGGTATTTGTATGGTCAGCACAACAACCGGACCAGGCAGTGTGATGTAGTCATTACGCGAATTCACCTTGGCTATAGGCAGATCTGGCAGGTTAGTGAGGCTGAGCCACTACCAGAATATTCAGATTGTAAACTCTATGACAAACCTTTAATGCATTCACTAGAACACTACATTGTTGAATGTGAAATCGTAAAAGATTTTAGACCTCCTGGCTTCTTGTACAACCAACTGAGTAACTATTTCATTGAATCTGGTGTACTGGACAATTTGTCCTAAATTTCCTTGTCCATTTTAAAGAATGAAGAACAATTTTATTTTATTATTTTTAAGTTGCATCTCTTATGAACCCATCCCTGTCCTTGTGTGGCAGTGCACAATAGAAAGTTGATTTTACATATTCATACATTAAAACATTGACTGTAACCATGATATATGTGCTTCAGCCTACAGTTTAGACCTATTGTCTTGTATATGACCCTCTGTCCTGTGTGACAGTGAATACCAGCATTATCCTCACTTTAATAAGACAATTGAAATCCTCGGATTAGGCAAAATTGTAATTCAATTTTGTCAATAAAGATGTTAATAATAATAAGTGGGATGAACCCTGAGAGCACCAGTGCCAAGCTTGGTGGCTCGCCTGGGGAGCCTTGGGATGAACCCTGAGACATCCCAGTACATTAATATTGAGTTACAAGCAGAATGTTGGATTACTAGACAGGGCTAGTATATACTCTGCCTAAATCCACTAATACGCACAGCGTTTCGGGCCATGCTATCTCTGCTATGTAGTCTGTTAGCACGTGCTTTATTAGTAGTAATATTTGATCTAATAATTTTGTTTCATGCAGAAAGATAGTACACGGAACACTTTTGTATTGCTCGCCTAATAATGTATTTTTAGGCGTGTGGATATTTTTAGATGTGTGGATAATTAAGGCTTTGTGACGTTGCAGGCGTACCGTCGAGACAAGAGCAGCCGGGTGCAGATAGTGAAGATGGTGTGTGCCACCGTCGTCGCCTCTGCCTTCATCATCGGCTTCTTCATCCTCACCTCAAACTACCTCTCCTCAAGGGCCTGCAACTGCCACAAGGTAAACTATATGTCTCAGTTTCTCTACGTCACTAACCTGTAAGCCTCCACGCTGCTTATAATAACTTCTCCCGCCCTATGTTGTGTCTACCTCATTACATATCCTACAGCTGGAAATGTGTTAATTTGAATAAAACCATTTTTTAATCATCTTGGTTTAAGACAGTCTGATCCATGAATCAAACTGTTATTGTAATATAACGTAATAATTATGCTTAGGGAATATACTATTTATTTATCACACCCGAGAGAGAGAGAAAACCTTCATGGTATCGTTTCCACAGGAGAGCCACGCTCATAAGAATCTCCAGGCAGCCGGCTTTGTGGAGATCCCGCGAGTGGAAGCGCTCGTCGACAACTCCATACAGGACAACAAGGTGGAGGACAACAAGGTGGAGGAGAACAAAGTGGAGGACAAACAGATTGAGACCAAGCAGACGGAGGCCAAACCGACGGAAGAGGAGGTGTCAACGGAGACTAACATTAAGGATCTGGACACTCTTGACGACGCCACCCTCCCCTCTGTGGACAACCAGCTGTCTCAAGAAGTAGTCCCCGAGGCTGAAGAGGTCAGTATAGAGTATGGATCATACTGACGCAGTGGTAACGGAGGAAGAGACCGGGTTATTGATAAGAGTCAAATCATATTAGTAATGTTAATAAGGGGTCAAGGGTTGCGTTAATCAAGATCAGTTAGGTTCAGTGGTTATATTAGTGAAAACCCAGTCATAGGATATAAGCTGCAGGCCGCCACGATGAAGCAGCCTATAGAGGAGGCTACAGAATGGATTGCATCCTGGTCTTCCAGTATATTACACTCATCCTCATGTTTAAAGTAACTTATTTTTATTCTAAAATCGCTAAATTTTTATAATAATAATAATTTAGATCTGCGAATAATAGTTTGTAATACTTATAGCCATTGTAGGCCATCAAATACTGATATGAATCAGATAATGACATAGCATACAACATATTTTTTATTATTGTTAAATAACCAATTTTTAAACCTCGTGCCGTCACACCTTTGGAAAATATTGTAAACAATTAGTCAATAATCTTAAATAATCATTGCTGGCTGGAAATTTAAGATTAAACTGTAATTTAAAAAAAAAATAAAAAAAGACGCTAAAAGACGAGAAAGAAATTATACTTAAAATGCGCAGGATCATGTCTTTGAAAGTATTGTAATGGAAAATGTTAGTACAGGAATATCCTACCAGTAATTTCGCCCCTTGGTTATTTGTATATATATTCCTGTACTTACAATTACTGTATATAGATTCTTAATTATTTCCTTCTATTTCCAATTTATTTTCCTTGACCTTATTACACATTATTTTCTTTATTCCTATTATATACTATATGATTATGGCTCGTGAATCTACCCGAGTCTTTCACAGAAGCAATCCCAGTTGGCCTGATTTATTTTTATTGTATTTATTTATTTATATACATGAAGGTACATTGGGTTTGTGAGAGTACATAACATTAGTGTTTATGCATTCTCGCGTAGCTACTAACACGCATAGCGTTTCGGGCAGGTCCTTAATCGAACAGATACTTATTAGTAGGTATATTGTAGGAAAATTTGAAGATTATTAATAGATACATTGTAGTAAAATTTGCGTTCAGCATAATAACTATGATACAGCATAATAACTATGATATAAGTTGATGGCAGTGAATACACTGCTGAAGTTGCAATACCTTGATGGCAGTGAATACACTGCTGAAGTTGCAATACGTTGATGGAAGTGAATACACTGCTGAAGTTGCAATACGTTGATGGCAGTGAATACACTGCTGAAGTTGCAATACGTTGATGGCAGTGAATACACTGCTGAAGTTGCAATACGTTGATGGCAGTGAATACACTGCTGAAGTTGCATGTCTTAAGTACTGATATTGGGGGAGTGGGTAGCACAAGATACAGTGTGAGTTTGAAGTACATGGTAGGAAACTATGAGGATGAAATTAGGTACTTTTTGGTTTTACTTTTGAATAAGGCATGGGTTGGACAGCTTTTTAATTCCTTAAGGAGTGAGCTCCATAGACCATTTCCCTTTATTTGCATAGAGTGTTTGCACAGATTTAGTTTGACTCTGGGGGATATCAAAGAGATATTTATTTCTGGTGTGGTGCTCATGGATTGTATTACATCTGTCAAGGAAGAGTTTCAGATCAGGATTAGCTTTTAGGAACAAGATTTTGTACATGAAAATAGCACAAGAGAATGCGTGGAGGCACCTTCTCCACACGCTTGACTAGTGTGAAAAGTAAATTGATTAAGAATAACTCATTTACATTCACTAGTATAATTCAGACTAGCAATATACAAACAGCTACAAAATACACATATACACATGCAGACATACTTATACTATAATGATCATTACGAGTCCAGTATAACGGACGTACTAGTAACTTGTAATTAGAGTATCACTGAGAGATAATACGTGACAGATGCATGGACACTCCCGTGTTGTCTAGTGGCTAGGATACGCGGCTCTCACCCGCGAGGCCCGGGTTCGATTCCCGGCACGGGAAAAATTTTGTTTAGGGTCCCTGTAGTACGTACAGTCTGGTTCCTTCTTGACTCACAATCGAGAATTTCGGGTTCGAATCCCTGGCGGGACAGAAATGGTTAGACACTTCAGATATGCTCTAGGTATTAGAACGCGTTACCTATCGCCTAATGCACCTGTTCACCTAGCAGTAGTAGGTACTCAGGAGTTAGTTAGTCGGCTTGTTGTGGGGTGGCATCCTGGGCGGGGTCAGTAATTCGACCTTGGTGAGGAGGGGGGGACCTTGATATAAGCCTAACGTGTATAAATGCACTCTGGCTACCTGTCCCCCGACACAATGAATTATAATTATTATAATTAGATAATACTGTATTGGAAAACTGAATTAACTGATCACTGGATCTCAGTATATAAAGAACCTATGTAGTAATACTGTAATAGTAATTTGCCAGAAAGTAAGTCTGTGTAAATATAACTTATAGTATCTTAATGAGGTGAGGAGAATACCTATGACACATCCAGGTATGGATGTGTCATAGGTATTCAAACCATATCCTCACTGCCTGGGCATGGTGAACCCAAGCTAGACCCACCAGAATAAGTATCAGTTGTAATCCCCTAATTGTGCTTTCGGGGGTTTAGCTTCGGCTCTTTGGTCCCGCCATTCGACTGTCAATCAACTGGTGTATAGATTCCCGAGCCTATTGGGCTCTATCATATATACATCTGAAACTGGGTATGGAGTCTGCCTCCACCACATCACTGCCTAGTGCATTTCATTTGTTAACTACACTGAAGGTATTATATCTGCTGTACACATACATATCAGTGGAACACTTTTTAACTTTACACGATACCTTTTATTGTAATATAAACAGCTAAACTAATATATAATATAAGAACATTACATAATTAATGGTACAGACAATAAAACTTAGCAAACAGGGAAATATATTTACTGTGAATTATATTCACAGTTGGTAGCAGATCTATTTTCCAAATGGAAGCAGGATGATTACCACTAGAAAGTAAAACTACATGCACAAATGTAACGTTCACCAAAAAAAATTAAAACATATAAATTAATGATGTGCATTGATATTACATTTGAATTTATATAGGACACAAGTCTCATAATTAGAGTACCGGTAGTAAGTGCTATTCTCTTGCCGTACAGCTCAACAAAATGATTACATGACAGTCTTTGTGAACACAGTTATAGAGCATGATATGCAAGTTTAAACACTAACGGTTCCTCTATCATATAATTATCAGAACTAGTGTTGGACTTTAAAGGGCTGAACTCTAGTTTAAAGTTCAATTAGAGTTTAACTTTATCTCACCTTGAACATTCAAGTTCAATGTGAGATAAACACACAACAATAAAACATCAACCTGTACTGTACTTTAAGTCTTTCAGGAATATTATAATTTGTCAACACTGAAGTCCTGAAAAAACATTTTCCACTTACAAAACCTCAAAGAATACAGTACCAAGTAATCACTGAGCTCAAACAATTTGTTATCCCATTCTCCAAAGATATGCATAGCTTCAGTAAATATCCACTTATCTACATACGATATAATACTTTTCACTTTAGAGCAATTCCAATGCACGTGGACAAAATTACAAAATATCTTTTCCACATCAATACCAACATCATAGATAGTGCACTCAAGAGGTTCCCTTCATGTGTACCCTGGATATATGTATAACAGTTCTTCCTACAAGGTTACTACTTCACTCTGTCCTTGGTCATAACAAGTATATGCAAGTTTATTGAATATCTTAAATGCTTCAAAAATATCTTTTGAGAATATCTGAAGAAGATTATGCAAGTAAAACCACTTCCTTAAAGATTTTCTCAAAGACAAAGACTAGGCTTGTGAAAGATTCATTGTTTTTAATTATGGGTTTCACATATTGTAGAGTTGAGCACTGGTTTTCATCATTTTCCTCAGTCATACTATTACACAGGGTTTACTGTTTTGTGTTGTTGAGTTATTTACATATTTATTATTAACTGAGCTGTGTATGTACAGGCGGTGCGAGCCCTGGTGGAAGAGGTGGAGGAGATAGAGGAGGCAGAGAGAGAGATCCTGGAGGCTGAGAGGCAGGAGAACCAACAGACCCTACAAGACATCATGCGCGCCCAGATGGATCATATGAAGAAGATCAAACTTCCCATTGACCTCATCCTCGGCAACCCCGCCTTGGTCAGTATCTTGAAAGAGATGTTATAGGTAAAAAGGTAGTTATAGCATACAAAGCTGGCGAGGGAGGAGTTACAGTGTATGAACGTTAAGTCGTGCATTGCTCATTTGGCAATATTGGTGGTCACTTGCGCTACTGAAGGAGGTATCTATTTTCTTATTTAAACTTAGAAAGGGGTAACAATGTTCCATATAAACAAAAGAGTTAAAAAAATAAAAACCACTAACCACATAGTTAAAACTAAGAAAAGTTTTGAGGCATACATTATGACAATAGTGATTTTAATTTACAAAAAGTACATTGAAACGTAAAGTACTTGATTCTAGCCAGTGACTGCAGGTTGAACAATCCCCCAACAGGTTTTCTCCCGACTGGGGAATGTTATACATGATATAACATTCCTCAGGAAAAATATCATTACAAATCATATTGGCAAGAAATTCCAGTTGAACTCATACACACTCAATATAGCAGTTCAAAATGATTTTGACAAACTCTGACAACATTTTATTGTTGACATCTACACAAAACTGTAAACCACCAAGTTTACTGTTTAACAGCTGCAGTCCCACAGATGTTGACGTGCCAGCCAGTGGAGATGCCACACGTTACCTATAATCCAGACACAGAGACATCTCTAAACTTCACGAGTTTTTTCCCGGTAAACATTGATAATCAACACATCACACATAACATTCCACATTCACTTTATTTACATTTATCTAGCACAGGTTCCAGAAGAGGGCACATCTGCTGTGCCAGGTGAGTACGACGGGCTCACCATAGCCCGTGCTGCTTGCATCTTTTTGTTCTGAGTAGCTGAATATACAACAACAACAATAATCCCGGAGGGCTGCTTGTAAACATGCAGACGACGATACAATTTTTATGGAATGGTTACGTTAGGCTGTGACCACATGTCCAAGTGGTCAAGTAATATTCTCTGTGAATATACGGTAATACTTGTGATCCCTTTGGTGGCTCCGTCATTGCCACCAGCATACGTCCCAGGTCAGTAAGATCGTAAGATATATTATGTAGTGCACGTTAGTCTTCCATGTCAAGTGCTAAAATCACTTTGTATAATGCGTCAGTATTGTTAACTTTAGAAAACCGAACAGTGCATGTGGAACTTGTGTTTTGAGTTTCATACCCACAGACAGATTTTTTTTTATAGTCTGCGACATATATATTGATGAAGCTTATTATAGTTTTTAGAATATTATTTGCCTGATGCTAATACCTGGTGATAAACTGTGTATGTCAACAGCAAGCCCTGCCACCACAGTTAACTAATTTTTATCTGGTGTACAGGCTGGACGCGATGTCAACTGTGAGGTGGAGCGTCGTGAGCAGCCCCTGGGCGGCGGCATCATGACTCAAGCCATCATTGTCACGTGCCACGACAACGACGACGACGACGACGACCAACAGCAGCAGATAATGTCCGGGCCGGCCTTCCCTCCACCAGGTGCCCGTCGAATGGGACCTCCGCTCTCACTCATTGCTCCCATCATGAAGATGTTGACTGCTAAGGCTGCTTCCCGAGCTGCTGCCAAGCAACTCATCCCCGTGAGCGGCCCACGCTTCCTTCCCTTCCCCGGCGCCCCCATCCCTTGCTCCAACAATGGCCCCTTTCCCTGCATGATGACCCCCCTAAAGCAGATGCCTCTCATGGCTGGTCCTCTCTCCGGACCCATCCCAATCCCCCACAACATGCCTCCTCATATTTCCATGGACGCTAATCCTCGCAGCATGCCCTTCCCTGCTGGCCTGCCACAGATTGTCGGTAAAGGCCGCCTCATGTTTACCCCGCTCAACATCTCACCCTCCGAGCCCAGGCTCAACCTCTTCAATGGCCCTCCCTTCCCCGAGTCAAGGATGAATGCTTTAAATGCACCACCCTCTGAACTAAGAATTATTCCATTCAATGTACAACCTTCCGAGGCAAGAGTTAATCCATTCAACGCACCACCTTCTGAGATAAGAATTAATCCATTTAATGCCCCACCCTCAGAGTTGAGGATAAATCCATTCAACGCACCACCCTCTGAGCCAAGGCAGAATCCATTCAATGCACCACCCCGCGAACTAAGGATAAACCCATTCAACGCACCACCCCCTGAGTCAAGGCAAAATCTATTCAATGCACCACCTCGCGAGCTGAGGATAAACCCATTCAATACACCACCCCGCGAGATTAGGATAAACCCATTCAATGCACCATCCTCTGAGTCAAGGCAAAATCCATTCAATGCACCACCCCCCGAGCTAAGGATCAATCCATTCAATGCACCACCCCCTGAGTCAAGGCAAAATCCATTCAATGCACCACCCCGCGAGCTAAGGATAAATCCATTCAATGCCCCACCCTCTGAGCTGAGGATAAACCCATTCAACACACCATCCTCTGAGCCAAGGCAGAATCCATTCAACGCACCATCCTCTGAGTCGGGGGAGAATCCATTCAACGCACCACCCTCTGAGTCAAGGCAGAAATCATTCAATGCACCACCCCCCGAGCTAAGGATAAATCCATTCAATGCACCACCCTTCCTGGAACGCAAAAACGCCATCATCCAAGAAGCGAAGGTTATCACCCTCAACATGCCACCCTTCTCCGAACCCAAAATGGACGACGGCCCTCGTCATCGCATGCTTCCATTCCCTTTCCGCCCCATTGTACGCATGTCTCCCCGCGTGCCCCGTCTCCTCATGTCTCCAGAGCGTAAGGAAGGCCCCATCTCCTTGGCTTCTCTCCACCGGGGTGCCCTGCCTCTTCCCCCACAGCCCGAGGCACAAGGCAACTTCATCCACCCAACACCAGAGGCCAAGTCCCGAGCTCTCTCCAACCCTGTAAACCTGCCTCCACTCCGCCTGCTGCCAGGAAGACTAGTCGCTCCTGCACCTTCAGGTACCTCACGCCCCGCACTATGTGTATCTTCCTCACGTTCCTCATACTGTATATTCTTTTACTGACTGTTGTATTATTGTCATTATTATTATTATGATTATTATTATTGTCATTATATTTGCTATTACTAAAATTGGTATATTAACATTGTTCCTTTGCATTCATTAATGTCTTTCCTGCTATTATTATTTTGTCAGTGATTATTAGTGCTACCATGACTTGACACTTGATGTTTCGTGTGCAGTGACAGTGGGAGAGAGGCAGGAGAGTGGCCCCATCACGCACATGGAGATGCGGGCTCCCAACGCTCCCGAGCCCAACAGCCAGGAGAACCAGCCCCGTGTCCTAGAGTTCGGTCCACCTCGCGTCGACACCCTCATCAACCACAATCTTTTCAGCGATGAGCCCAGACTCCCCATTCTTCCCCAAGACATCGATATCCGCCCCATTCCCAAAGAAATCATGACCCCACCACAGCCCATCGCCATTATCCCCCACAATATGCCCATCGCTGGTCCCTCAAGCCAAGCCCTTTCTCCTCCTCCCCCAAAATTCGATCCTGAGGGACGCACAGGAATTGTGACGGAGATTAACCCAGATGCCGAGATGGTTATCAATCCACAGCTTTCCAGCCAAGAGCCTCCCAGACCTGAAGATCCTCGTAAGCACCACCTCCTTGTTGTCAGCTAATTCCTGACAGCAGCAAGTTGCAAGCAGCAGGGCAGTGTCGTCAAGTAACATCTTTATCTACGGGTGACCTGGTGATCTCATGGTGTGTGTTTAGGATAGTTGCTAAGTACACTGAGAGTCACAAGGTATCAACAAGAACCTCTTATGGTGGAGAAGAGTTTCTTGTGCCACCTCATGCAATGATCTGTCTTTTAGCTGCTGTCCTTAACACAACCCCTCCACCTGTCATTACCGTCCATTGTCGCGCCGCTGCCCTCCACAAAAATCTTCCATCAACAACTTCCTTCGACAGTCCTTCCATCAGTGACAACACTCCACACAGTCCCAACACCTGTCACTGCCCTCACTAGGCACTACCATCCACACTGTCCTCTCCACCATCCACTATCCTCTACACAGCCCTTACCACTAACAACAACCCTCCACACGGCCCTCACTGCAGCTACAACCTCCCTCAACACCCCCCCTTCCCAATACAGTCAATACAATCCACGTCACCACTCTTTCACACAGCCACACCTCTAACGTCAGTCCTCCATCTCCACCAGCCAGTTCCTTCATAAGGTCTTCCACCAACTACCGTCCCCTAAAATGCCTCTCTGACAATCACACACATCAGACCACTACCCTTCAGTTCTTTCCGTCTTCAGTCCCAAAAATTACAACTCCAGTTATACAACATTCAAGGTCTAGACAAAATAAATTTCATCTAACAATATATTTCTCTAAATGAATTACTATATCTTCATATCTATACTTTTATACACAAAGTCAAGGCAATACGAATACAGGATGTACCAGTTTTTATATTTGCATCTAGGGAAACATTTTTGATGTCTAGAAACAGTTAAATTAAAAGCAGCAATACCCATTTTTAAATACTGTACAGTATATTTAACAAATTTGACAGTCAAATCGCTGTGTTAAAAATGTCTCTGCTAATCTTCCCTTAACTTGGCTGTCTCAAAATTTAAATAAACAAAATTTCTAGAACAGCTGTTTGTAACCCTAGTGGAAACATTATAGACACGCCATAGGTGCTCCAAGCTGCTTTAGTTTGAATAAAGTGATCATCAGAAGGAAAATAATAAAACGACAATTAAAGATCATTTGGAGACATTGAGAGGGAATTAGGACAATTTATGGCGTGCCTATAATGCTTTAGTCCATCGTTAGACTCTACACGGCAATGTACTTACTACCTAATTGTTGTCCAAATTACCAAAAATTATTGTAATGTGATACTTGTATATGATCTTTTACTGTAGAATAAAAAAGTAAAAAATCCACCCCAGTTTCCTTTGGCGTCACATCTTCCATGTTTAGGGACTTCTCGTGCTCCTCACAAATAAAAAAGTGCCCGACTTAACAAAATATCTACAGTCAACTGGCCCAGAGACACGACCAAACACCACATTCTCTCCAAACAATCTACCATCCGCTACCGAGCGGACAGCACACTGAACTTGTGATCCTGTGGTCCCTGGTTCGATCCCGGGCGCCAGCGAGAAACGATGGGCATAGTTTCTTTCACTTTATGACCCTGTTACCTAGCAGTAAATAGGTACCTGGGAGTTAGTCAGCTGTCACGGGCGGCTTCCTGGGGGTGGAGGCCTGGTCAAGGACTGGGCCGTGGGGACACTAAAAAAGCCCCGAAATCAACTCAAGATAACCTCTACGGGTTATTCATGACCGTGCTACTTCTTGTGGTGGCTTAATCTTCGTCAATCAATCAAATATCTTCAGTAAAGAATATCAGAATATTAATTAACTACCCCAGGACATGGAAAATTGGGGGCAACACTCAGTTTTCAGTGGGTATTCACCCATAGGGTCATAAACCCATGGAACCGCCTACCTGCCAAAGCTGTACATGCCGACATTATTACTGCAGTTGGAAAAAAATGGGAGGGGGTGACATTTGACAAGCCACCAGCATCCTGTCCCCGTAGTGCCCACTGTATAGATGGTGGCCCCTCAGATAATATAGGTAAATAAATGTTAACTAATCCCAAATTCGCCAGTGCCAAAACTATTGTTAATTTTGTGAGGGTAAGTAAATAAAAGGAGCGAACCTTGAGCAAAGTCAGTTTATAAAGTCGGAAGTGAAATGCTATAAAAGAGTAAATCATATATTTATTCTTTACAATAAACAAAGTTAAGCTAATGTTTTTTTCTTTATTGGTTAAAAAGTACAGAATATATCCAGTACAATAAAAGACTAAGCCACATTACTTGAAGACAGCACAAACATGAACAAGCCACTCTAGACATAAATTCACAAAACAGCTCATAGAGAACTATTGAAAAAATAATATACAACCAGTAACGGAAGCAATGCATTATACAGTGGTACAAACAGTTACAGTTCATACAGGAAGGACAAACTTTATACAATAACAGGACAAGGCAAATCACAAAATATAGTTCACACTACACCCACATTATGTTCAACATGTTCAGTAAGTTACAACACAATGGAATGTAGCAAACAGACCACGATCAGTATCAAATGAACAATTCAATGAGCTCATTCAATTCAAGCTCAACAGTACACAACATAGAACTAAAGGAAACACATGATAACAATGATAAACTGGCACCGTGTGACAATAACAAGGGAGTAAATTAAACATAAAATACACAAACACAAGTCACACAGAGCCCAGTAGGCTCAGGAATCTGTACATCAGTTGATTGACGGTTGAGAGGCGGGACCAAAGAGCCAGAGCTCAACCCCCGCAAACACAACTAGGTGAGTACATAAGAACAAATGCTCCAAAGAACACATCATGAGTGCCTACTACACCTAAACGTGAACAAGAATACCACATCCATACACAGAAAATAAAAATGGACAATGGGAAAACATATCAAACAGATACAGTTGGGCCTCTACACATTGTCAATATAAAATACAAATTACACAAACCAAAATAAAAAGGAAAGGGAGCACAGCAACAACCAAATGAAACAACGAAATAAAAGAAAACTGAAGAACTTGAACCATACACCAATACGGAAGGACTCACGGAGACCACATAGCACATACTACAGTAGAAAACAAGCAAAGAAAACACCAACCCAGGGAAGACCACGCGGGCGAGGTGCCCTTCCCCTTAAAGGACAACACCTCTACTCCCCCAATACCCACCTCAGGCGGGGGTAAGAACCCCACCTGGCTTCCCCACACCTCTCTGCATTCGCAAAATAAAACCAGTCCCACCCGTCCGCTTTTGATGAGCCTCCACAATTCTCCACCAACGATTTCCAGAAGCACCACTCGACGCAACTCCGCTACCGGAACGCGCATCTACACCACCTCCCCCAGCAAGGTATTAGCAAGGTACAGGAGAGGCAGACAAAGACCCTCCCTCCAGAGGACTGTGTACAGAATCTCCTACATCACCCAACATGGAAGCAAATCCATGCTTCCGTCACAGGGACAACACCAGAACCAGCCACCTCAATGCTAGGGTGGCTGGACATCGTCGAAACATTGCTACTGGGCATAACGTTGACCTCGGCCTCCACCTCGTGTAAACACTCTTCCTCCCAAGACATTCCATAACTAGTTCACAGGGTCAGACGCCGAAGCACAATTGTGTAAACCAGCTGAGCCACCAACCGGATCATACAACCTGTCCTCACCAGAGTCCACGATGTCCACCCGTGCTTCCATGTCTTCAACCATCTTGCCAGTATTATCAGGCAATGTCATCGTGACAAGGTAACTGAGGAAAGGAGGATAGAATAACAAATCAGTGAATCTGTACGCTGGTACAATATGGTTGCAGCTGGCAATCCCAATCAATATGGACGTAGAGGAGATGGCCGCGGGAGAGAGTCAATATTAGCAAGAATCCGTCTTGCATACAAATATCTATGGAGTTTCGGAATGGAAATAACAGTGGAGCAGAGGAGTTATAGAATGTGTAGTGAGAGTGATGGACACCGCCTTGACTACTACCTGAGAGAATGTGAACATCTAAGAGTCATTAGAAATATGAGTAGAATAATAAATCCCACATTGTTTGAGTTAGGAGAACACTATTTGTCAAATATAAATACTGTTTTTAAGAGATTTCCCCATTTTGCACCCGCAAGATAACGTAAAATTTTAAGGGTTGACAAATGTTAATCTTCTTGTTTAAGAGGCTGTTCACCTGAGACAGTTAAGCAAGTCCCAGCTGTGTCTGGGTACAAGTGGCAGGATAAACAAACCAGCGGGTTATCTTCCTATTGGGGGGTGTTGTACATGATGGTATGGCGGTGTGTCCACTCACAGAATGAGTGACGCTACCCATTAAACTTGCCCCTCGGGGCAAAATATAAAATTTAAACAGCAACACCAGTAACCGACGAACATCCAACACCGGAACAGACTCCAATACAGAAGACACACGACCAGAGCTAACTCCGTCACGTATCACCACACCCTTGTTATTCTGGAGTCCACCTCACACGTCAGTGGAACCCAATGGGGAAAATTTTCTTCCCCATAATGATTAACAGGGTCACATTCCTCCGCCCGGCAAGCAGCCACAAAATGTTCCGGGAGACCACACTTGTAACAGGTCCGGGGCTGCCCACCATGAATAAAATGTAAAGCAAAGCCTAGAACCGAGACAGGCGAGGATATAGGATCCGTTGTTTCAGAAAACGCGGGTTTTCTGTATAGGGGGAAAACAAGGGCTTGCGACTTGCTGCGCGCGCAGCCGCTGGGGGTACTTGAAGGTCAGCCTGGGGTACTGTGTACTTCCTTGATAGATGTAATAGCACCACACCATAAATAAATATCTCATTGATATTCACATAATCAGACTAAATCTGTGCAAACACTCCAAGCAAATAAAAAGACTAAGTCTATGAACCTCACTCCTTAGTGAATTAAAAAAAATTGTCCATCTTATACTTTATTCAAAAGTAAACCAAAAAGTACCTAATTTCATCCTCAAAAAAATTGAGGATGAAGATGAAATTAACTCGCACTGTATCTTGTGCTACCCACTCCTCAATTTCAGAACTTAAAACATGTAACTTCACCAGCGTAATGTACACAATCAATTAATTTATTGTAGTTCCAGTCTACACGACTGGATGACCAGTCTCCGTGGTGAAGTGGTAAGACACTCGCCTGGCGTTCCGCGAGCGCTATGTCATGGGTTCGTATCCTGGCCGGGGAGGATTTACTGGGCGCAATTCCTTAACTGTAGCCACTGTTTAACTCAACAGTAAAATGTGTACTTGGATGAAAAAACGATTCTTCGCGGCAGGGGATCGTATTCCAGGGATCTGCCCGAAACGCTACGCGTACTAGTGGCTGTACAAGAATATATCAACTCTTGTATATATCTCAAAAAAAATCTCTCAAAGTTATAATGTTGAACTCAAATTTTGCTACAATGTACTGTACCTATTAATGATCTTCTCTTAATCAGTTAGATTAAGGACCTGCCCGAAACGCTATGCATGTTAGTGGCTTTGCAATAATGTAAGAACACCATTGTTATTTACTCTCACATAACCAATGTACCTTCTTGTATATAAATAAATAAATAAATAAATAAATTAATTAATTAATTAATAATGAACAACTATTCAACTACGGTACTGTGTTCTGTATATTTAAAAATATATTATTATTATTATTATTATTATTATATTAACTAAAGCATAAAAACACAGGGAGAGAATACGGAATCTACCATAAGTTGTAGTAGCGAATAGTTTCCGCCTCCACAGATCTACGAAACGTTGTTGAGCAACCAGTTTTGTATGCAAATTGAAAGTCAGAAATGTCTTTATATACTCATTGATTTTCTAGCTGACAAACTAACCAAATGCTTTGTTTAATTGGGTATTTAGGTCAACGTTGGTTAAGGCACTATAATATTTTCCATTATTCGTGTGCATGAGGTAAACGTTACAAACGTTATATGAGAAACGTTTTATCATTTAAAATAGCAACTGTGGAATAGCAACTCTGTAAAGGCTTCATCGGCGTGCTTCAAATACAAATAATCGTAAAGAGTGTATGTAACCAGATTCATTACTTGTGTATTATTTCAAAATTTTTCACCGGAGCCCTATTTTCTTAACGTTTTCCGTTAAGTTGCCCCAGAATCGCTTGGTTCGTGTGTTCAATGTTCAACATTTATTATTCATTACAGTGAAACAGTCTTCAGGGGTCTTCAGGTGTCAACACCAGTGATATTAGCATGTGTAACTGCCAGTAGCTTGCTCATTACTCAAGTTCAAGTACGTTTATAGAGACAATAAAATACAT